TGAACTGATAGCTAATAGTGTTTCAAAAATGAAACAATAATACTAAAAACTTGTTCAGAGCAAAAGGAACATAAAATGTACACTAATCTAATGCACATCTCAATTTTTAGAATTTTTAGAAATATTTTTTTCTAATTTTTAGAAAAAAACATTACCATTTCAGATCAGATTTTTTTTTGTAAGAATTTGATACTTATATTCAGCAAGCATGCATTAAATTAAAAAGGACAGTAAAGATTTTTACAAAAAGTTTCAAATATAATTTAATAGAATAGGATATAATATTTTCAAATATTACAATTACATTTTAAAATGCCAGCAAAATTACAGACTAACTAAAGTTGAAAAAGTGAAAAAGCATAATAGGACCCCTTTAAAACAGAAAATTGTATTTCACAATATTACTGTTTTTAATGTATTTTTGATCAAATAAATACATACTTGGTGAGCTTAAGAAACTAAAGGATTCTTTCGAAACTGATTTATGATCAAAAAAAGATAATAGAGCTAAACTCCATGTTTATGAATGAACAAAATATATACTTGAGCAATTTCAATAGTTATAGATGATCAAAAAACGAAATATAAACAGCTTGACTAACCTTAATTCACACTTATAATAAAACAAACTGTGATGCTACTGTTGTGATTCATTCATCTAGAAATACAGATGATGTTTATTTTATAACTAATTGGGTTTTAGATAAACAGCGAGAGAAATGATCTGAGATCATGTAATAGCTACCAAACACAGTGTGTTTTCTTTAATGTACCATTTCCAAAGAGCTTATCAAAAATACTTGATATTACAATAACAGATTGGTGTGGAAAAATCGAATAATTCAAACAAATAGACAGCAGTGTCAGTCCATGAGCATCTGTACGGAAAACCTTGTAAAAATTTGTGTGTAGATAATAAAGCAAATCAGACTGAAACTGCCGATTTCAGACAGATCTCGTCAGTTTTGTGTGCAATGAGCATCAAATGGTCTATTGACTTTCACCTTCCTCATTTGCTCCACCTGACTGTATGCACTGCACTTATTCATCCAGAGACTTATAACTCTTAACTTTTATAAAGAATATCTCTTTGGATTTGAGACTTTAGTCTTTGCAACTTTACAGATCTTCTTTATGCACCAAGAGCTTGTAACACTCTAAAGAGAAAGGAAAAAATGAAATCGCATCATATGACCCCTTTAAAGCCAGAGCTCAGAGGAAGAGTGGAAAGAGCAGACAGGGTCAAGATCAGAGAGGTCAGAGGTCAAACCTGTCTGAGCAGTGACGTGCGTCTCCTCCTGATGGCCGTTAGACGAGTGACCAGCACTGACCACTGAGCTCTGCTGGTCCTCCCATGTCACCTCTTATCATGCAGGCCATTGACACAGAGACACAGGCAGCGTTAACATACGGCTTGACGTGTGCCAGAGAAACTGAGGGATTGTAATTCCCCCATTTTTGTGCAGGTACAACAGGTATATTTGAACACTTACAGGTAAGTCAGGCTTGAAAATATAAATGTTACATTGAAACAATATTAATTAAAGCTCAAGTATCCAAGAACATTTGGTTTGATATTTTGTGTCTAATGCAATGCATTAAGACTGATTAGATATTCAAATACTTTTTCATACATCAATGTTTGTTCCTGAAATACAGTCTTATTCTTCTGTATTTAGTTTTTGCAAAAAAAGTACATTAAGTTAGCGTTGTAAAATAAATCAAAAGGTTGAAGAGGTAGACAGAATAATTCTGGTGATATTTCAGCACTAATGCATTGAACAGCTCCTTTCTACACATGATTGTGCGTCATCCGCTGGTTAAACCATGTAACTGCATCCTACTAATCAATTCGGTCAAAAGAACCACTGATTTACATTTATATCAAAATATGAAATTCTTTAACATCTAGATTTCACTCTGTAGCATGAGTAAAGAAACATTGTAAAATGACTTTAAACAGAACAGTCTTTTAAATAAGATCTGGCTGTATTTAGAGTAGAAGTCACTAGCTATAGTGCACAACATTTATCCAGATACAAGCCAGATCAATTGAATTCAACACAGTCGCTCTAAATGTCCCTCATTATTCACAGCAAAACGCATTAACACAATGACAACCCACACAAGAGAGAATATATGAGAGTCGTGAAGAGGGAGAGACTGACCTAGAAACAGACAGAGAAAAACCTAGAAACCGACTCATCCATGCAAACGGAAGTCCTTCAGTTTTTGAGTAAAGAAAATACATTTTAAAGATGTAAGGACTGGGTGATAGGTAAAAACAACGTAAATTAACACAAGGAACAATCATTAAACATTTGTAATTCATATTATGTACCAATATAACAACACATACGGTAGTAATAAATAGCTATATTTAGCTAAACCGCATAACAGAAATGAATCAAACTTAGCAACTCTAACCCTAAACTCACTTTTTTGTTTTTGGTATGCACTAGAATTGCAAATTAAGAAAGAAAATATGGTCAAGTTTGATTTCACATTCAGAATTTAAAATGTAAACACATTGTGATTACTTGATATATTACAAAGCCCTAAAGGTGAGGAAACACCCTCTTAGAGAAGAAGATGAAGAGGAAAATACTGCAAAGCTACACCGCAAACACACGCCTGGAGAGACTTGCCTTTCCTGCCGTTGACCGCTGGGCCGTTCGGCCTCATTTCATAAGCTTTAACACAACAAAAGAACAATGGAGTAAAAACACTGCAAGAATTCCCACAAATGCACAAAATACAAGTCAGACTTCTAATAAATCTTCCTCGACACTCATTTTGAGTGTCATATGAAAAATTGAGAGATGAGAGTACTTCAAACAGCTGATGTAGTGTAAATACCAGTTGGACAGAAAGCAGAGATGGATGCTGGGAAAGTGGCAGACGCACACACACTCCCAACAGACCAGATCTTGTGACAAATACGACGGATGTGGCAGATGGGAGTGGAGGAAGTGCGATCGGTAACATGTCTGTGTTTGTGTCTACAACAAATTTTTCATTTACAAACCTAAATGTGACGCAAACCTGAAGTTATGTATGAACTGACTACAAAACAGAACTCAGGTCTCATGGGCCGGTTTGGGGTTTTGAGTACCAGATCTCTATAATATACAGTACCATTTGGAGTCAGTTCATATACATAATCAGTTAATGTCAGATTTTTTATTTTTTTTATTTAAAGAAATGTACATTATACTTCTATTCATCAATGATGCAATAAATTAATAAAAAGTGACAGTAAAGACTTGTATAATGTTACAAAAGATTTCTATTTCAAATGGTTGTTCTTTTAACTTTCTAGCCACCAATTAATTCTGAAAAAATGTATTCCAGTTTCCACAAAAATAATAAACTGCACTGTTTTCGACATTGATAATGATAAGAAATGTTTCCTGAAATCAATCAGTCTATCTATCTATCTATCTATCTATCTATCTATCCTAGCACCCTACACTCTACACCCTAGCAACTGCCCTGTGTACCCTAGCAACCGCATAGCAACACCCTAGCAACCGCCCCGGATACTCTAGCAACTGCTCTAGTAACCACCCCAAGTACCCTAGCAACCACCTCAGGTACCTTAACAACTACATAGCAACACCTTAGCAATGACACAGGTATCCTAGCAGCTGCATATCTATCTATCTATCTATCTATCCTAGCACCCTTCACTCTACACCCTAGCAACTGCACTGTGTACCCTATCAACCGCATAGCAACACCCTAGCAACCGCCCCGGATACCCTAGCAACTGCTCTAGTAACCACCCCAAGTACCCTAGCAACCACCTTAGGTACCTTAGCAACTACATAGCAACACCTTAGCAATGACACGGGTATCCTAGCAGCTGCATATCTATCTATCTATCTATCTATCTATCTATCTATCTATCTTAGCACCCTACACTCTACACCCTAGCAACTGCCCTGTGTACCCTAGCAACTGCATAGCAACCACCCTGGGTACCCTAGCAAGTGCATAGCAACACCCTAGCAACCGCCCCGGATACCCTAGTAACTGCTCTAGTAACCACCCCAAGTACCCTAGCAACTACCCCAGGTACCTTAGCAACTACATAGCAACACCTTAGCAACGACACGGGTATCCTATCTATCTATCTATCTATCTATCAGGAGTTTGGCTAGAAACACAAACGTTAGTCTCTCAATGAGAATTTAACACAAAGTTGCTGTACTGTAAGTCACTAGACAATTTACTAAAAGAAATAACAGAGTTTTAACAAAACTATAAAAATAAACACAAAATAATTTAAATACAGCCTTTCAGATTTTTTTGTGAAAAAAAAATAATCTCACATGTCTCCTTTAGAGTTTTCAAGTTTACACATCTCGGAATGTCTACATTATCTATCCGCACTTATTTTATAGCTCTATACACCTACTACATGTTAAAGATGGTCTTAGCTACACCTTGTTATATTTCTCCAAAATAATTAAAGAGAAAACTGATACTAAAATGAGAATTCCATATGAATAATATTTTGCAAAAACACAATTTGAGCAATAATTCAAAATGATATTAGCAAAATAAAACAGCACATCTGTAAAATCAATCAATGATTGGACAATACATATACTGTGACTGCTTCTAAAACAACACAGAGGTCACTGGGAAAACAAAAATACATTTAGAAAATCCTTTATCACAACATTACACAATCACTGCTACAGGAAGACAAAGAAAAAAACAAAAACTACCCGTCTACATTCACATTTAAACACGAAGAGTTTGCAATGGACCTGGCTTCATAACCTCTCAGAGAAAGCTCTGATGGAACATTTGATGTGTCCGAAATAGAGAGGGAATTCAGTGAATCTGACTTCCAAAAAGCTTTAGGATCTAATGTTAATTTTAGACCCGTCTATAGAGGAAATGGCAGCTCAAGACCATTGCAGTTATGTTTAATTCAATCAGAAGCTCCTTCTGACAGATTAAACCTTCACAGACGTGTTACACACCTGGACAAGGCTCAAGTTCTTCATCTCCATCTTCTGAGAGAGGAATGAGAGAGGGAAACATCAGAGCGCACATGCAACTCAACCACGCATGTCATTTACATGATCATGTGTGTCGCCTGCACTCAAATATAACAACAGCACAAACTGTGTCATATTCAGCCAATGGGGTAACGGAACGGAGCAATGTTGTGATAATGTATAACAATCCCTAAACAAAACGACAATAATTCACACTAGAAACACTTTTGACAAGTGAAATGACAAGCTTTGTTGTCTCCTACTTGACACACCAGTTCAACAGTCAATCATCAAGGAGGCTCCGCCCACCCGTGGGGGGAAAACAAAATTTGTTACCATATTTACCCATTAATTCAAATGTAGACAACACTGATTCCAAGAAATGTGGCTATTTTATGAGAAAGAAACTCATAAAATTAGATTTTTCGTGCAGAAATTAAATCAAAATGTGATTAAAAAATATATATATTTATTATTTATTTGGCTTTTAAGTCGATGTCTGTTGATTTTTCTAAATTGAACAAGAAAAAGAGATTACTGGAGTAATCTTTTTTTATTTTTATTTTTTTATTTTTTAAGAAACAAGAAAATACTATTTGTTTTCTATTTCAAAATTTCACATTTATTGCATGTGTTATTTATTCATTTATTTATTTATTTATTTGCAACCATTTGTAAAACTGTTGACAAAAATTATTTTAGCATACTTTTACTGTATAAGTAACACTTTATAATAAGCTCCCACCAGTAACTGTTAGTTAATTTTTTAACTTACACTAACTGACAATGGAAATACATTTGTTAAAATATTTATTAAGCTCATTTAATAAAAAAAGTACCTCAGATCCATTAAATAATATTAAGAGATTAAGAGTACCTTTTGATTTTAATGATATATAAGTAAATATTGAAATTAACATTAACTAAGGTGCCCGAGACGTATTTTTCATTTAAGATTCATGTTAACTAAAGTAGTTACCTAATGTTAAAAATTGCATTTTATAATTATAAAAGTATATTTTTATTCTCCAATTCTTATTTCAACAGAAAATACATCAATGCTTTTTAGGCAAGTTTTTCTTTCTAAAAACAGAAACAGTCAAATTCTTCATGTCCCCAGTTGAAATGAACTGTAACTGGGATATGATGCATTGCTGACTGTAACTATAGCAAAGCACTACATTTGCAGAGTCAGTCATTCTGCAATCCCACCTCTCAAATAAACATCTCAGCATGAGCAAGAGCCAACAAAAAAGAAGCTGCACAGAAAAACAGACTTACTTCTTTCCAGCGTCCCTTTCGGAGGCAGTTGTGGGAGCTGTCGTCCTCTCCTGCTGTTCACGGGGGTCCCGGTGGGGCTGGTCTGAACCGATCCTCCACGAGGATGCGCCCTAGTAGACAAAAAAATAATCCCCATTATTATGGTTGTTATGTGCATGCTACCCTGAACACTGACAGTGACAGCACTAATATTAGTGTAATTTCAGAGTTGGTCTGTGAAGAATCAGCAAATGAAAATATGTAACAATACATTATAAATAAATAGGGTTAAAAAGCATGTGCTGAAAAGGAGTGGTTTAGTCAGTCATATATATGATATTTCACATATACATGTGCTGTAATATCATACACATCCATTTGAATGATGCTGAGGATTAAAATAACAGTAAACAAACATCATGATTTTCCATCAGCATTTTGTATGAACTAAAACTAAATTATTTCATAATCACATAGTACTATATATATATATACAGTAAGCAAATTAATAAATATGATTTTTGTCTGTCTTAAACATCACTGTCTTAATAGTAAAATCCTCAAAATACAAGATATGCAATATAATAATATTTAATGAATAATAAGATTAACACTATTCAAAATATTAAGGTAGGTAAAGGTTTTTTAAAGAAGCCTCTTATGCTCATCAAGGCCGGATTTATTTGATCAAAAATACAGTAAAAACAGTAATATTATGAAATATTTTTACAATAACTTTTTCATTTAAATATATTTTAAAATGTAATTTATTCCTGTGATCAAAGCTGAATTTTCAGCATCATTACTCCAGTCTTCAGTGTCACACGATCCTTCAGAGATCAAATACGTTGATTTTCTGCTCATCGTTGCTGAATAGAAAGTTCAAAAGAACAGCATTTCTTTAAAACAAAAATCGTCAGTAACACTATAAATATCTTTACTGTCACTTTTTATAAATTTAATGTGTCCTTGCTGAGTAAAAGTATTAATTTCTTTCTAAAAAAACAAAAAAGCCTACAATTTTGAACAATATATATTTATTATTTTATTTTGTCTTTTTAATAAAAACACTTTTAATAAAAACTAAACTGATTCTGTAATAACTTAATTTTTTAAAATATATTGTTCAAATGATTGAAAAAAACCAGCATCTGATATAATCTATTTGGTCTGCCATTTTATTCCAAACGTTATATTTAGTCTAGTATATGTAGGCTTATGCTTTAGTTTAACAACTTACAACAATGCTCAAATATTCAGTAGCAAGTAAATGCTTGATGCTTTGGCACATGAAGGTGACTCTTCCACAGTGATGCTGCAAGAGAAGTGTGCGTTTTTCTCTGCCATCACCAAAAACAAACAAAACATTAGGATTCCAGACAAAAAGAACCAAACGGGGGAAAAACTAATGAGTTAAACACCACAATATAGGGATAACAACCAATGGAGATTCCACACCACTCACTGAAAGTATAACTGGTGTGTTTTGCTATCAAACAAATCATTGAAAAGAAATGAACAGTATCTGGTGCATCTACAGAGATGAGATGGAGCAGATACAACAGCACTGCTGCAGAGAGGACAACACATAAAGAAAATCAAAGGGCCGGTCGGTTGGTTGGATGCAGGGAGTCTTTGTTAGCACATGAAGGATGTTTTGTTTGATTAGTCAGGTCTGTTTTGCGGGGTGAGCGGCTGCTTTGATCTGGGTCACCTCGATAAGGCAGGGGAGGGTGGAGCTGAGTGTCCTGACGGCAGGGAGGGCATCGATGATCTCATGTGGGGGCCGTCGGGCGGCCGCTCCGAGGAGCGAGAGCGACTGTACATGGGCCGCTCCAGTGCGGACCGCTGGTCTGCAGAACGGGACCTGTGGTGATACTCGTGCCTGTCTGGCGCTCCGTAATTCCTGGAGAAACGTGATTGGGGGAAACAGGGCGATGTTTAGTGTGGGTGAGGTCGGTTGAGTCTCAGAACGCCGCGTGGCATTCTGGGAAAGCACTGAGAGGAGAGACTCTAACAGCTCATGATAAAGTTGTCTCGTCTTTGGCACTTGGAAGCAACCAATATATGAGTCTAACCCCATGGTTCTGTACAGTGATATATGACGCGATTTAATAAGACTGAAGGATACATTATAAAAGCATAATTAAGTTCAGATTAGGACAATGAAATCCAAAATCACAAATTTTACAGCACTCAGATCACAGATGCATACAAATACACAAGAAATAGATTAAACAAATGAATTAATTATTATTAAAAACTGTGGAAGGAAAGATTACTCTCAGATTATTCCCACATTTTTACAGAAGGAAAAATCCCATCCATTTTATTCAGAGAGAAAAAGATTTTCACAGATAATGTAAAATATTACACAGGATTTCTGCAGGTTTTATGAAAGTAAATTTAAGACTTTTTAAGATGTTTTTAAGGCCAAGTAAAGAACATTTAAGGAAGAAATTGAATGGAGCACAATATGACAATAATGAAATGCAGAGCACAAATTTCCAAATATGTTCTTCATCGGTATTTTTATCTCGTTTCCCATGCAAATGTTTGAAGATTCTTAAATCAAGTGGCATTTACTTAAGAAGCAAAATTACATAAAATGAGAAGTCTGCCTTAATTTGTGGAAGGAAAAAATAAGGATTTTTAGGAAACTTAAAGACCTGCAGAAACCTTGCTTTCAGGACAGTCCTCCTTATCACTTACTGATGGTTTTGTTTGTTTGTTTGTTTTAAATCCCTATGGAGAAAATGAATGGGAAACCAACACTGCATAAAACATTTGGCACAGTATAACATACTAAAACACAAGACGACACAAAAAGATGTGTAGTGTCTGAAAAGTTGTCCAGCATCAAAACACTAATTTATTAATAATACATTGAGATAAATAAAGTGACACTGTAAAAAGAAGGCTGTTAAATACAAAAAATATATGTAAAAAATGAATACAAATATTTCTTAAAAAGGAAAACTTTTATAGAAAATAATATCTGTAAAATAATATTTATATTTAAATGATAGACAGCTTGAACAGTTAAAAAAATATTGAAAAATTAAATAAACAAAATAAACAAAATATACACAAAACGAAAGATCAGGGAATGGGTTTAGGACATGAAAAGCTGCACAAGCTCTCATTTTAATTTTTGCATGCAAATGAAAATATTATTAGCATTACAGCCTTTTAAGCCCATAATTTTGTATTGTAATATTTTGAAAGGTCAAAGAATTACAGCCAAAATCAGCTGGTAACTTTAATTATAAAAGAAAAAAAAACAATCATGCTAAAGGCACAAAATGTAGCTACTATTTGTTGAGGAAATAGAAAACATGAACGTGGTCACAGTATACTTTAAAATTACCATTCACCAGCCGAAATACTGCTCCTCCAGGAACGCGATTTCAACCGTGCCCCCTCGGGATTTTAAGCAAAGTATATTTTGAATGCAGCTTCCAAAAGACCAAAAATTTTTATATTTGATACAATTAGAACCGTTCAGTGCGGCTCAGAATCAGCTGCCAAATTCAAATCTGCGTTCGTGCTTTGGCTGGCACTGAGCCAGACGCGTTTTTTACAGTGCTGAGCATTATAACCAATCACACAGGATTCTGTTGAGCTTATGAATGCAATGGCCAATCAGAGGCATTCAGATGAGTCATCGCTGAAAAGCCCGTGTTTTGTTCAGTGCGCGCGCTCGCTGACTGAATGCTGCTCTCTGGCGAATTCTCTCATCATAAACAAAGTGCAGATGTGTGTACGATATAAGTAAGATATTCATTTCACAGTATAAACAGCTTCAGTGATTATAATGGGAGTTGTTGAGAGTGCTTGAACTCTGTCTAGACTGAAGTTAATATTCTTTGATAATGCAAATATTCTTTGCTCTCTTTATGTACAATGAAAGTGTTATAATTAGTAACTTACAATGTTTTTATTAAATTTACGTTAAATACAAAGTCAGTCGTATTAAAAATATTCTATGACATGACACCCATATCTAGTACAAGTTAAAAGACGGGTTTTATGCATAGGCTAGTTAATAGATTACACTAATATTAGGCTACTTTCCCCATAGCCCATTATAGATAAACTAACATGATCTATAAATGTGCAAAATGCATTTACTTATATTTGAGAATCGTGATATTTTATGATATAGTTAACAAGTTTGGGAAAATTTTGAATAAAAAAGGATTTCAACCGAGGGGGGCCTTTAATCGGTCCATGCCCAGGGCACCGCTGTGTCATAATCCGTCCCTGGGTGTAGGCAAACTTATGCTTTAAACATGGACAAGGCCTTTAATCGGTCCATGCCCAGGGCACCGCTGTGTCATAATCCATCCCTGGGTGTAGGCAAACTTATGCTTTAAACATGGACAAACTACAGTAGTCAGCATTTGAAGTGGATCAAAACCTTTCTTCAAAGTTGTCCTAAAACCAAAACAATACTACTGTATTTACAAACAGGTTAAGAAAAATAAACTTAATTAAAAATATATTCAATAAGCAAAAACATGAGCCAAGATGAGGGCTGTGCTAAAGACGTGGGTTTTTTTGGTAGTGAAATTGGCCCAGCTCATGACAGGGCAGCAGGGATGCTCTCGGTGTTGGATATCATCCCATATAATGTCTTCATCCTGAAACAAAAAGGCTGTCGACATTTTAGACAGGCCATAAATGGCTGACCCAAATAGACTGCAGCACTGGTACCCCTCCATGTCACTGTACGCCTCTATGATGGGCCATCCTAGCAGGACGCGGTAACCTGACCACCACCCGCTGATTGATGGAACACACACTATTGGGATTGCCAAAAAGACAGATATTTGGAACTGACCACATAAACCATCAGAGTGTGCATTACACACACCCTCAACTTCATCAGGGTTTAAAGGAATAATTCACACAAAAATGAAAATTCATTCACAGGCCAACCAAGATGAAGATAAGTTTGTTTCAGAACAGATTTGGAGAAATTTAACATTGTATCACTCGCTCATCAATGGCTCCTCTGCAGTGAATGGGTGCCGTCAGAACGAGAGTCCAAACAGCTGATAAATACATCACAATAATCCACAAATTACCCACATTTTTACCCACTTCCCACATTCCACAAAATGGGGGAAGTCGTGGCCTAATGGTTAGAGAGTCGGGCTCGTAACCCAAAGGTTGCGGGTTCGAGTCTCGTACTGGCAGGGATTGTAGGTGGGGGGAGTGAATGTACAGCGCTCTCTCCCACCTTCAATACCACGACTGAGGTGCCCTTGAGCAAGGCACCGAACACCCAACTGCTCCCCGGGCGCCGCAGCAAAAAAAATGGCTGCCCACTGCTCCGGGTGTGTGTTCACGGTGTGTGTGTGTTCACTGCTGTGTGTGTGCACTTTGGATGAGATAAATGCAGAGCACTAATTCCGAGTATGGGTCACCATACTTGGCCACATGTCACGTCACTTTCACTTTCACTTTCAAATAATCCACACCACGCCAGTCCCACAATTAACAACATGTGAAGTTAAAAGCTGCATATTTTGCATATAATGCTTCCTCCAGTGAAAAAGTCAATCCTCTGTTGTTCAAAATCCACTGAAATATTTGTTTCATGTTATGTTTTATGAACTAACTTGGACTGTTTTCACTTGATCTGTGCATATTTCTCTCCTGCTTCAGACGAGACAACTTTTTCGCTGGAGAAAAGCAATATTACTAATAGAGGACTCGTATTTTAGATAGAAGCAACTGTTTGAAGTTAAAAACGTCCTAATGATGGATTTGTTTCTTACAAACACGCAGCTTTTCACTTCACAAGCTGTTAATTGATGGACTGGAGTGGTGTGGATTACTTGTGAATTATTGTGATGTTTTTATTAGCTGTTTTGGACTGTCATTCTGACGGCACCCATTCACTGCAGAGGATCCATTGGTCAGCAAGTCATGTAATGAAAAGAAACAAACTCCTCTACATCTTAGATCATCTGAGACTAAGTACATTTTCAGCGAATCTTAATTTTTGGGTGAACTATTCCTTGATCACACAACATATCTTTGTTAAAGTGTTTTATCCAAAGTAAATAATAAAAAAAAAATCCAGATCAATGTACATTATAGTGAATAACACATGCTGAACAACTTTTCACACAAAACACCAAGTTAGAGACTACACAAACAAAGCGAAACTACGATCCCATTAATAAGCTCATTTAGTGAAGTACTGTATTTATAAATTCCATTTTACATAATTTCTCAGTTTGTTAAAACAAAGCATGAGCTAGCTGTAAAAATAAGTGCTCAGTTTCTTTATGATGACCTAATGAGAGAATGACAATGAGGCTTTAGGAACGAGTCAAAGGCATACAGTATCTCACCATTCTTACAAAGACAGAAGCTTGTTAGGTTTAATGGTGAATATATTTTCCAACTCTTTTTGGAAAATGTATACATTTGCAGGGACTGTGTACATTAGGACAGAGGGGTGCTCTTATTTCAGCTTGTTTTGTTTGTTTATCTTTACAGCAAGTGTTTCCTAGCTTTTCAGTCATTCAACCTTGTGTCGACATTAAAGAGTCACTGGTGACCTGTTGATTCGATGTGCACAAAGCAATTTTTTCACACATTAAAAAAGTTTAGTTAAAAAAAAAAGTCTAGAAAATAGTTTTTAAATATTTGCAATTAAAATTAATTTAATAATGAAAATTTATGATTAAAATAAAATCATTTATATTATTAACATCCAGCAGTAATACTACTACTACTACTAATAATAATACATTAATTTAATAATAATAATAATAATAATGTTTCACATTTTTAACAAATTATTTCTGAAATAATGTTTTTTTTATTTTTGTGCTTTAAGCTATAATAATTTATTTTCAATTACAGACATAATTCATTCAATACAGAAAAGTAGTGATTAAAACAAAGTATTAGGATTTAAAATATTGAAATAAATCCGTGAGGAGTGCTATTTTTATGACGCATGAAAAAATTCAGTTGTGGAAAAAAATAATAATCACAAGTGAAAAAATAAGTGGGAAAAAAATCTGAATATTTTGCAAAATATTCGATTTTGCATGATGCTGCATCCACAATATGTCAAATAACAAACTAATATATATATATATATATATATATATATTAAGTCAACATGCGGTTGTGCGGATTCAAGCTTCTCAATGTCAGAGACCCTCATGAATGCAGGTTTTCAACAAAATAGTATCAAACTGGTTTTATCTTATCATGTCATGATTATAAATGTATTGCACTGAAAACCTGGATTTGTAAAGTTCAGAGGAAGTCCGGGTTTGAAAAACTCTGATGTGTTAGTGGAGGCTCTCAGCAGGGAGGTTAATGGGGACGGACATTGGCAGCAATGGCTCTACCTGAGTTCCTCCAGCTGACTGTCATGAGGCTGACTGTGTCGGGTTCGAGGTAAGGTGAGAAAATGACTGCAGGCAGATGGAGAGAATAGACGTGGATTTTCAAAGAGAGATGAAGAGATTTGAGGAAAGAGAGAGGATCACGTTTTCGGTGAAACTGATGATGATGATGGGATGAACCCAAACTTTTCACGTGGAAGAAATGTGGTTACTGTTCAATGACAACAACACTCACACTTCTAGCTGTATCAAGAACAAAGATCATTTTAAACGAGTGTTATGATAATCCCAATAAAGGGGCCCTAGAAAACAGGATTTCCTTGCACTTTATTAAAACCAAGCTGTGCAATCAATCAGATAGATAGATAGATAGATAGATAGATAGATAAACAGACAATAAATAATAATAAATGAAAAGAAAGAAAGAAAGAAAGAAAGAAAGAAAGAACATTACATTATAGGTGGACTTCAGGATTAAAAATATTACAAAATATAGCCCCCTGCACAGCAAAAATCTTTTTTTAAAAATCTAAAAAAAAAAAAATAAGTTAACACTTGCTTGCTTATTAGGAGCCCTAAATAAATCTTCACTAAACAAACAAACAAACATAAATATAAATAAATAATATTAGTAATAACAACAATAAACAAACAAACAAACTTGCCTAACATTACAAGATTTCAAGGTGAAAAACCGCCACAAAATGTAAAATAATAAAAATAATAATGGCAATGCTAGCTGGCTTACTAAAAAACAAAAAAACAAAAACAACCTAAATAACCTTTTAACATAAATATATCGAATATAGATACGGCTTTGTGACTCGGGTGCATGATCATTGTTGTGGATTCAGTGATACAAACATACTGTTGTTACACTAGATCTTGTGTACTGTTGGGTTCTTGAATCAGATGTTAATGATAAACCAAAACTCTTAAACTGTGATTCTGATGTTTACGAACAGAAAAGGTTCAGACAACAGAAGAGAGATCTGTCTTACCTCTGAGAAGGGGGCATGCTAGGAGACCGTGAGCGTGCTCGGTTGATGTCAGCTGATCGAGAGCAGTGATTGGACGATAAGACCTGCTCAGGCACAGAGAGGGTGGAGCTCTGGAGGTCCCTGCCATTTCTATAGTCTGTAACGAAGCAAAGGGAAAGAATTAATGCACAATTGTGCACTCATTTTTACTACATGTGTACTTCATTTTGAGCAACTAATGCAAAACTGTTAAACCCTTTACTGATAGCAATTTAAACATGCTTTAATTAAGTCCTGCAAGCAAAAATGTTTAATCATACTAGATTATCTATTTAACACCATGTGTTTTTTCCCCAATAACTGGGTCTTAAATGGCTGTAAAACTAAAACAAAACCAATATGTTATAGTCATGAATGAACTTAACTCCCATTAAATCAGAAAACAGCTTTCACAACCAAAACCAGAATAATGACTTTTTTCCTCATGCAAGAGCCGTCAATCCATGTTTTCATGTTGCTAATGGAATATGTACCAACCACAAATGTTGGATAAAATAGTCAATTTTAAACTATTTTCTCAGTTTTAAATTATATATATATATATATATATATAATATTTGTGTCTTAATGTATAATGGACACTTTTGATAAAAATTATCATAAAATATAAAATTATTATTAGAATTATAAAATTATACCCATAACTAGACATCTTGAAAGGTAGCATAATGATACACTAACATTAAAAATGTCTTTGAAATAAGTCTATTGTGCTTATCAAGGCTGCATGGATTTAATCAATGTAAAATCAAATGTTACAATTTAAAATAACAGTTTTATATATTTTAAAATATAATTTATAATATTTTTATAATATATTTTAAAATATAATTTATTCCTGTGAAGCATTGCTGAATTTCCAGCATCCTTACTCCAGTCTTCAGTGTTACATGAAATCATTCTAATATGCTGATTTGCTCCTCAAGAAACAAAAAATATTATTAACAATGTTGAAAACAGTTGTGCTGCTTAATATGTTTTTTTGGAAATCATGACACATTTTTCAGGACTCTTTGATAAATAGAAAGTTCAAAAGAACATTTTGATCAATTTACTGAATAACAGTATTAACTTCTTTAAAAAAAAAAAAAAAGTACTGACCCAAACGTTGGTGTTAACAAATTTTTGCATCGCCTAAAATGTTGTCTAACCAGGCAGCTCACTAGCATTTGGAACAGAGCTACAGTATCTATTGCAGCAGGGGTGTAACCATCATTTTTGAAGTGAGGGGGACAGAAATGTTAAAAAATAAATAAATAAAAATTCCTGACTTTTGTCTAATTGACAGGCTTTGTTTTTTCTTATCTCTTTTAAATGGCTAAGAAATAAAATACACTGCTAGACAATAGCCAATAATTTGTATTCTATAAAATGTTTTTCCTATATTTTTCTAATTACAAGTTTATGATTGGTTTATACAAACACATAATAAGGCAGAATAGTTTATATACTGTAATAATTGTTATGTCAATTATCACTGCATTATTCATATACTTCATTTATTTATTACCTGGAAATTACTTGAAATGAAATCTTTTCGCTGCAGCGATAGCGGGATGCCTTTGCCCATATTAGGGATTTCCTACTAATCATAAGTTATTACATCTATGAGGCCGTTTTATACTTTCTGAGCAAGAGCACCCTCAGGCTTCGAGTATGAATGAAACATACACTGCATGAGGGTGTTTAGCACTCCGTAATGTTCACATCGTCTCATTTTGGATATGAATAAATATGAATAAATGTATATGAAAAAATATTCCATACATACTATCTTGCTTCACTGCGTTTAAATCTAGATTTTTTTCACACTGGCCATGCTTTCTACTTCTACATGAACACACTTGCCCGGAAAAAGTGCGAGGGATGAATGTATTGCAGTACAAGTAACATTGGTTTGGTCTGTCACACACATACTGTAGTGTCTGAACGTGACCTCGGCGTGCTCCAGCGCAGAGACTGCATCAGCACCGGTGCATCATGCTGCAATAAATGAACGGCTGCTAGACACACGGGCCAGAAAACAACAACAGCAGCACAGAGCGCATGAAGGGAAAGCAGCGATCTATAATTCCTCTGAATGTTAATCATCTCCTCCCAGCGGAAAGCACTGCATCAGCACTTTACAACCGGCCCAGAGACGGAGCCAAAATCAATGAGAGAGAGACTGAGGGAGGGTTTCCCTCTATCACAAAGAAGAGCACGACTGGAATTTTAAAAAGGGTGCGTGGATGTGGATGTGTGTGTGTGTGTGTTTAGGCTTTCCCTTCCCGTCTGAGATGCCCGTACAGATGAACATTTTAGCACCAGTATTAGGCTGATGAGTGGTGAAGATATCTATAACATACTACCATACTTCATACTGTGCACAGCAGGGCATTATTGAATTTATGAGAAATATGTGTCCCACATTTTGATTTAATCAACTTAGGTGCAAAAAGTTAAGACATTTAAACACAAAAGTGGATTAAAAATGCAAAAAAGACATGATAATGAGATGATAATTGGACACAATGCGACTACATTTTTGTTGTTATAAATTGCTAAATATATTTTTTTGAAGTATACAGTATATATATTGTGTGGTACAGAGTACGCAGTATCTTCTTATATTTTTAAAAAGTACATAATGTGCAGTGTTATTTTAGTATTATTTATATACTATTGTAGTATTTATTCATATCAAAATGTTCAAATTTTTTTTTTTTACACAAAATGTATTTTCATTTTGTCATTTTATGTGCTTTGTCATTTTTAAAAAAATTTTTTATTATTATTATTATTTTAATATTTCTATTTAGCTTTAATTTATCTTTACGTTTTAGTCATTTTTGTACTTGAACTTATTTTATTTTAGTTAGCCGCCATGGAAACAATTTTTTGCTTCTAATATTCATTTTTTTCATTTTATTTTAGCTTTACTTTTGGTTAACAGGTTAACAATAACAACACTGTATGCATTATGCAATGCAAAACATTTCAAACAATGGTATGCTACATATACAGTAGCATAGATGTGATATACAGTTTATACTATACTAATACACTAATGCATAAAACAATACAAAAAAGCAAAAAAAAAAAAAACGGCAAAAGACATTTACATTAAGCCTAAAACACAGCATAATGAAGTGCAAAGATATAGGTAAAACACCTATACATACAGAAAATGTCTTCATAATACAGTACATTGTGCCTTATTTTTTACAGATTCACATTGAACAAATTTAGCAGTAAATGTCTTCATCACCTCTGTCAGAGGGTGTCATTTTCACCGTGTTCCTGCTAACATCTTACCTGATAGGACGCCAACACCATCCTCACAGTCATAGTCTGAGAACTCACTGTCGCTGATCCTCTGAGACCCTACAGCAGAAAAACAGACACACAGAGAGACAAGTGTTAGAGCGGTCTGTAGCGAGACTGGATCATGTGATGTAGCATTCTATAGTTTCTGCACTATAAACATATTAATATAATAGCTCTGTTCCAAAATCTCATGAGCTTTCTATCTACAGCCTACACAAATACAAAATATAAGTCAATTAATTGATCAATAAATAAATAAATCTTTCCCCTTCAAGTATTGGTTAATATTTCTATTTAAACTTTTATTTAAATTATTATTTAATTAAACATAACTATTTTTATCAGTTCTTTTCAGGAAATGAATGAAATATAATGAATGAATGAATGAATGAATGAATGAATGAAAAATAATATTTATTGTTGACATTAGTTGTCATTATATATGTCACAATCTCAATTTTACCCTTTTTAAACTCTTTTTATTTTTTATATTTTTTATATTTTTATATTTTCTGTTTTCATTTAAAATATTTGATCTTATTAGATTTTTTCATTTTGTAATTGTTTTGTAATTTCAGTATACTTCAAATTATTTCAGCTATTTGCCAAGACAACATTTCTAATTTTCATTCCATTTTTTTTTTTAATTCAAAGTTTTTCCATCTAATATTTGTGACCCTGGACCACAAAACCAGTCTTAAGTCACTGGGATATATTTGTAGCAATAGCCAAAAATACATTGTATGGGTCAAAATGATAAATTTTTCTTTTATGCCAAAAATCATTAGGACATTAAGTAAAGATCATGTTCCATGAAGATATTTTGTAAATTTCCTACTGTAAATATATCAAAACTTAATTTTTGATTAGTAATATGCATTGCTAAGAACTTCATTTGGACAATTTTAAAGGCAATTTTCTCAATAGTTTTTTTGCACCCTCAGATTCCAGATTTTCAAATAGTTGTATCTCGGCCAAATATTGTCCTATCCTAACAAACCATACATCAATAGAAAGCTTATCTATTCAGATGATGTATAGATCTCAATTTCAAAAATGTACCCTTATGACTGATTTTGTGGTCCACGGTCACATTTATTTTTTTATTTCACATCAGCTTTATTTCAATTAGCTAAAATTTGATTTAATAGTTTTGTTATGTCTTAAAAAACAACACTGGTAAAATATTCCTGATGCCCTAAATCGCTGTCTAGGTAGGCAGCTCTCTACGTTTTGGAACATAACTGCTTAACCACAACTGACAAACTGCTGTTCATTCATCTTCCTCTGTGACGCTCATAAAAAGTGCAAAAGTGCACTCGAAATGCCTGTCTATTTCAGACTACTCACAGATAACCGAACATGTCAGTCAGACATCTCTCTCTCTTCCAAATCCACAAAACAAGAACGAGGCAGACTGAGCTTTGTATTACGTGAGAAAATGGATCTTCTTCTCCCTTCGCTTCAGTCACAAGGAACAAACCGAGCTGAACGGCGTCCCTCAGCCCACAGCGCTGACGTCTGCTGAGTTTGACACTCTGAAGCGGCCGCTCCATCACTCAGTTCAGATCAAGAATGAAAGCTAATCTACCGAGCGGCGTTCACACAACTACAGCCAGAACGGACACCCAAGCCTGCGCTCGCCCACCAAACAGACCCTTGCGCTTTAATGCCGATGACAAGCCAGCAATAAACCTGCTCTCATTTCGTTCGCCTGTCCTCTTTTCTCCTTCAGCTCTCTGGTCTATAAATCAGTCTCTTTAAATCACTAAATCAAACACTCGTACACCGAAGTGTCAAAAGAGATTCACAAACTTATAAAGGATCACTTGATGTTTTCTTGCGACCTGTCTTACTGATTTGTTAGGGTTACATATATAAGAGTTCTCTTATGGAGTGCAATGCATCAATGTCAGAAGCTTAAAGTAAGTGCAAAATCTGCATTATTAATAACCACCCATCATCCAGTTGAACCAGTTCATATGTTAAATCTTTGTAAGGGATGTCTTTATAATATCCTAATTATGTCGGAGCATATTAAAAAAGATGGCCCTTTAGTGACACTTTTCAAAACGATTAGCTAACTGCTGTCAGTGAAGAGAAAATTACTGGAGTGAACATGATTTGTGAGGATTTTTCTTTGCTTCTGTCTCTTTGAATGCTTAAAAACAGGTGCTGCAACTACAAAACCACACAGCAACCAAAAACCAAGAAAACTCACTCTTAAAAGAGAAGAAACTAAACTAATTCAAAGGCATTTCACACAAAGGCGGGATATTAGATATTATATTATTTATCACAGCTATGCAGAATTAGTAACTACAAAGGGAGGGAAAACGACAACTAGGACTGGGTTGTATGATGGCATTTATCGCAGAATGATAGAAAAGTGTAGTGTTTTCTCTTTACCATTTATACAGCAGAATATATATTTGCACGAAAAATGTTGACAAAAGGAGTGATTAAAGAAATACGTTTTTACGGTCTGATGTGCCTGTGTATGCATATATGCATTTGTGAGATAAAGTTAAAAAAAAAGGAAATAGTCACATTGTGAGATATGATTTTGTATTTCTGATGTATGAATATAAATTTGCTGTTAAGAGAAATAAAGTTGCAATTATGAGAAGTAAATAGCTAATGTTAATCATTTGTAATGAATAATGATACATTTTGGTTTGCGTCCATCAACTTCCAAATAATAAAAAAGCCAAAATTAACACATGATAAATGAATGAACTCTTTTGTTCAAAAGTCTGAGGTCAGTGAAGGTTAAATTAAATTGATCAGAACTGACAGAAAAACTTTATTCTTTCCTCTTTATATTTATCAGGGAATCTTGAAAAAAGTATCATGGTTTTCATAAAAATATTTAGAAGCACAACTGTTTTCAACATAATAATAAGAATATTATGACAATAAGAAATGTTTCTTCAGCAGCAAATCAGCATATTAGAATGATTTCTGAAGGATCATGTGACGCTGAAGACTGAAGTAATGATGCTAAAAATTCAGCTTTGCATCACAGGAATAAATTACATTTTAAAATATATTCAAATAGAAAACAGTCATTTTAAAATGAAATAATGTCTCATAATAGTACAGTTTTTAATGTATTTTTAATTAAATAAATGTAGCCTTGGTGAGCATAAGAGACTTCTTTCAAAAACATTTAAAAAAAAAAAATCTCACGAGCACATACTTTTGAACTGTAGTTTATAGACATTTTTTAATTGTTTAATTTCTACCCAAGATATTTATATTGTGACCATTACCATAACGTAAAATTAATAATGCTGTATACGAATTTTCCTCATACCATCCAGCCCTTCTACAAGTAATGATAACAGTAAACAGAAGCCTGTGTTCACTACAGTGTATCGGACTGATCTGCAACAAAGAGGGAAAAACAGCAGCACTGGGGAGACTCAGAAGGCACTATGGGAAAAAGTGGCAGTGTGAGGACATGGTCCACTTCGGTCAGTGTTTGTTTCGTTTTTGACGGGAGTGAGAGGGACAGCAGGGTGGATCCAGTATAAAAACACACAGGATCAGCCTGAGCATGCAGCGGTCATTACCTGAGCTGTACACAAATGGGCCTTTGGCTGCAGAAATAACCAGGTCAAGATAGAAAACAATGAATGCAGGACACAAACGCTCAAACCAACAGCTGTAGTGTTTCAGATTTCAGCTCAGATGACTGAGTGCTTATGAATGTGTGTGGTCTTGGGCCCGAAACATACAGTACTCTATGAAAGCATGAAACACAAGCTGTTTTCATGTGTTTATTCATTCTGAAATGATCCACAGTTTTGGCTACTGAAGGTCAAATCATAGATACTTTAATATTTTTGCCTAAATCTTGTCATACAATTTCCAAGGAGGAATCGCAAAACGAATCACATGGTCTTTAAGAAAACTAGAGAAAAAAATGTTAAAATGAGTAAGGGAATAGTTCACCCAAAATCTGTCTTTTTCAATTGATTTTTGATACTTTCAAAATCTTTATATTTGCTAAAAATGTATTTTCTTCTAGTTTCTTCATCGGAACAGATATGGAAAAATTTAGCATTACATTACTTGCTAACCAGAGGATCCTCTGCAGTGAATGGGTGCCGTCACCCAGCTGATAAAAATATCACAATAATCCACAAGTAATCCACACCACCAATGGTTTAAAGTTAAAATACCTTTATGGTGGACTTGTTTGGCTTTTGGGTCTGTTTAATGTGAGTGATTTCATTGTACAATTTATATTGGTGTCATGCTGTGTTGGTTTGCATGCTGTACCTGTATGTTATTTTTTAGAGTTTTAATTATCTCTGTGCAGCACTTTGGTCCATTCTTCTGGTTTTGAATGTGCTGTATAAATAAATGTTGAGTTGAATCGTTTATTATAAACATGTAGTTTTTCACTTTACAAGACGTTAATTGATGGACTGGAGTGATGTGGATTATTGTGATGTTTTTATCAGCTGTTTGGACTCTCATTCTGACGGCACCCATTCACTGCAGAGGATCCATTGGTGAGCAAGTGATGTAATGCTATATTTCCCCAAATCCGTTCTGATGAACAAATGAACTTAGATCTTGGATGGCCTGAAGGTGAGTAAATTTAAGTAAATCACTTTTTAATAGTCAAATCACATCAGGAGTATATTGTGAATATTCAGTATATTGCCAAAATAACATATCCAGGTTAATAAAAGACATTTGAAGGTAATCCTATGAAGCATTAGTGCTTGCATACAACTGTAGAGTACATTAATGGAGCAAGACTTTAGAAAAGATGCTTAGAAACTGTTTTGTGACAGGAAAACCCACATTCTGCAGTACAAGCAGTTATTGCTATATACAAAAATGCTAAATAGTTATATATGAGCAGTACATTTACCTGAGATTTTCTGTCATATGTTTCTGCTTTGTGTGCATAAAAGATGTGAGCGAGAGAGACAGAGGGAGATAGAGAGAGAGACATACTCTGCAGTCTGCGTGTGGGACTGTCTCCATGCAGCGCTCGTCTCTGAAGGCAGGGGGAGCTCTTGGGCAGGGGTACCGATGAGACGTCATGTGTTTGTAGCTTATACCAGTGCGGCTCATCGTCCAGCAGCGCTGATTCCAGCTCTATGAGGATCTACACACAAACATTTGTTTCACATTCAAATGCATGACAACATGTCACTAAACCTCTAAATTTGAGATTTTGAATGTGACACTGCGTGATTTAACAGCTAACTACAACAATAACACAATATGCATTAGAAATATTTTAATTTTGATAAAAATAATGATTAGTATTACTATTGTCATTATTTATGCAAACTATTTTGTGATCTAAACTGTCACTAGTTAGATCTATTATTGTAGCAAGATCAATTTTAGATTTATCTGCCACTAAATAGCACGCAAATACAAAAAAAGTGATCAACTGGTAGAAGAAGCCTGAACTTCTGAATATTTCACACCATTATTCATCTTGTCCTCACCTTATATATATATAAATGAAACTAATTAAAATGAAAACTGAAAATATACAAATAAAACATTCAAATTATTAATAACAAGTGTAATAATATATAAATAATACTACAATTACATTGGTATTTCAGTGTATTTTGTATACTGCACAGTTTTGCCAAAAAGGTCATACTGTGCACAATATACATATTACATACAGCTAAAATAGTGTGACTAAGGTCCAGCGAGATCTCCAGCATGCGTTCCCTGAACTCCCGCCGGTGGACGGGGGAATACATAAAGGTCTGGTTCCATTTGGGCTCTAGTGATTTCTTTACCGTTTTTGTTCTTCTTTTGCTTTTGTCACTGGAGAAACAATGATTCAAACTGTTTTTATTTACCATCATGGTAAAAGAACCCTGGAACAAACACTGAACTCAACAAGCTGAAGAATGCCATGGGAATATGGGAATGTTAAGCGAGACATGTAAGATCTACTCATAGGCTGCTTTCAGAAAGGAATACTAGCATAGTGCTTACTGCATACTGCTCCAATTTTGTATTAAAATGTTTATCTTGGCAGTCGAATCATATTGAGAGTAAAAAAAAAAAGTTTCAAAATTTTCGAATTGCATTGTGGGACATAGCATCCCACAGGGTTATTATTGTTAATTATTAAAAAAAAATTATTAACTGAAATATTACTGAAATGAAATAAATAGAAATGTTACTAAAGTTACTAACTAGAAATAAATGCAAACTAACACCAAAACTGAAATAAAAATAAATTAAACCTAAAAAATAAAACCTAAATAGTAATATTTAAAAAACAAAAATCTTGCACAGTGAGTCTTATTGGCATAACTGCCCTAATCTCACCTTCTGTCAGGGAGGAAGTAGATCTTCACGTAAGGATTGCGTGGTCGGCCGTCTTCCCTTGAAGGCAGGTCCTTTGCACCCAGTATGGTGACGATAAGCTGATGGCCGACTTTGTCATACCAAAGTTTGACCTGCAGGGGGACAAACATCAGAGCCTGCTTGAGATGAAGAGGGACTTGTGTTCTCAGGCTTCACATCATTGGCTGCTTCATTTAAACACTTTAAGAAAAGAGAGTTTGATAAGCATTGTATCATAGTATTGCACATGCCAAGATGCGTGACAGGCCAAGCTTGGTTCTCAGACAAGTATGGACATGACAGAAAAATAAGTCAAACACACACAGAAACAACACATACATAACAAATAAAATGCTAGATCTTCTAAGCCAGAGCCCATACTTGCTTGTAGTAATAGGAAAATAACTCTTTCTATAAAGTAAATGCCTACAAATGTCTCAGGCCGCAAAGTAACACATGCAATGAAGGATGTTCCATACTTTATGTAAAAAAGAAAACAAGGCAATGTGTTACAAGGAGAGCTAGGTCAAACAAATTGTACCATTACAAAATCCCCAACAGAATCAGAGGTTGCTGTGCATTAAGGACAATAATGTTGCCCAAAATAGAAAATCTGCAATATTGCTGAGGGAAATGTGAAGAGCTGTAGGTACAATGCTGACATTAACAATGCATTTGGTTTTTGATTTTTGCTACCAAAAACCTTAAAATCATTCACATCATGTTTCCTCAGGTACAAGTGGTTACAGTTCACACATCTCTGTACTTAGGAAAAGAAATAAAACAGGGACTGTTAAAGGTGCTGTGAAATTATATAAGACATTTTGCAACTGAAATAGCCCTTTATCCAACTCCACTCTCCAAAAACATGTCAGCCAGCTTGATGGCAAAATGACTGACAGGCAGAGAGACTTTCTGATTGGCTAGATTTCTGACAGGCTAAAAAAAGTTTTTTGTTTTTTTTCCGCTGTCACAGAGACATGTATGCATTCTTAGGACACCTATTTTAGTGATATTTATCACTTAGCAGTGATATTTTATGCGTACAATAACTTACAGTACCTTTAACACATCCTTAACTGCAACATGAAACTACCAGCAATGTTAGTACCCAACAAAAATGTTTTTAGCATTAGTATAATTGCAAATGTGAAATACAGTTTTTGAATCAGTCAGCAAATGAATGAATCTCCAAAACAATTAAGTACTCTGAATCACTTCTTTCTAAACGGTATGGATGAGTATCAGGATTCAATGCTGTTTCATGTTACATGGAAAAAGAATAAAATTTTATGTCCCGACAAACTCGGCATCACTAAAACATTTAAAGAGAGACAGTACTCCTCTGTCCAGGCAAACGCCGCAGGTGAACGTCTCACAGGGTTAGAGGTGTTACGTCATTGCTCCACGTCTGCCAACACTCGGGTGTCTCTTCAAATATTTTTGTGCTAATTCATTGCATGCATATGATTTATGCCTTACAATCAGATAAAATATGCTTAAAACAGCAACAACAATGAATAGGTAAAGAAGTCTTCGAATGCTCAAACTGAGATAATAAACAATTGGAAATGCAGTCATTTTTCTACTGTACATTATCCAATGAATTAAAGCAATAGAAGAGAAGTGTATTTAGTAGACAGCAACAATTACCTGAACTTTAGGGTTAAAAGGCTCAATTCTTCTACTAAGGCTTTGGCTCTGGGTAAGTAAAGTGAATGAAAAACAACAATGAAGAGAAATGCAATAAAACTGAAACCTGAAATGACAATACCAGTTGTTAATGCAACACTAAGAAAGCCGAAAGGAGATTCAATCTAAAGACAATTGGCTATAGAACATACTGCACTGGACCATTTTGATTTCTTTTAGTATTTTCACTAGAATGCAATTAACTGCAATCTCTTCCTCAGAGATTGGGAAATTAGTGATGAGCTTCAATGCTCAAGACTCTGATATACTTTTAAATTTTAGGATTGAATATTTCCTGTGCATTGTCTAGAGCAGAGTTTCCCAAAGTGCGGCCCACAGCCCTCTAATTTGGTTCTTGAGTTTCATGAAAAAAATTAGTATTGTTTTAAAGGGGTCATATGATGCAATTTAAATTTTTCCTTTCTCTTTGGAGTGTTACAAGCTCTTGGTGCATAAAGAAGATCTGTAAAGTTGCAAAGACTAAAGTCTCAATTCCTGTGTGTGTTTCGTTGTGAAAGCGAAACTACTTTGTTTGGTCTTCCAAAAGAGGACACGACTAGAAATCAGTGGTTAAGTTGTATTTACAACACTGTTCCAGAACAGTTCAACCCAAATATTCAGATGATTCTGCAGAGTAGACTACAATGCCTGCTGTTCTGACTCACAGACTGTAAGTACGTTTTTTATATTTAAAGAATTTGCCACTGACGATTCAAACGCAAGTTTTGAGCAGTGTAGAGTAGCACTTGTTGTTTGTCATTTCTCCGATCACAAATGCAGACATGGTTTTATGTTTACACGGCGCGATGCAACGCAACGCGTAAAAAGACAGTGTAAGTCATTATAATCCGTAATTATGTCCCCACTGGATGCAACAAATGCCTCGTTTATAATGGGTTTTAATGTTTTTGTCTCGTCGCTCCGGCCGGGACACAGGGTATCACAGTATGATAAGGGGCGTAACATTTCCGTCACACGCTTGAAGTATTCGGCCAATCACAACGCACTGGATAGCTGGCCAATCAGAGCACACCTCGCTTTTCAGACCGATGAGCTTTGTAAAAATCTACGCTTTTCAGAAAGGCGGGGCATAGAGGAGAAACAGTAATGTACAGTATGTGGAAAATAATGTGTTTTTTAACCTTAAGCCGCATAAACACATTTCATTACACCAAATACACAAAATAATGTTCTTTTTAGCAACATCATATGACCCCTTTAAAAGACAGACATGTCATGTCTTTTCTTCTAAAAAGGCTCAATGGGCATCTCTTCATAGGAAACATGGCTGTTTACATTGAATCTCCTGCTCAGCAAAATACAAAGTAACAAGATTTTTATTTAACACACAAACAAACACATACACACCATGTAGTGTTAGAAATTATCAAATTTGGTGAGATACAGAACAAGAATATCTGAAAAAAAAATTTTTTTAATTAATATAAATAATACACCATTCAATTAGAGATTAGTGGCATTGACCCAAAACAACCCATCCTGCTATTCATCCATGCATCTAACTGTCGGTTCATTTGTCTAACTGTCTACCCAAAACTACCCATCCATCCATCTATCCTCTTATCAATCTCTTCATCTATCATTAGCCACCCTGCTTTCTAGATATCGGTATCAGCCACCGGAAAATCCCATTTTGGTCAACCATTCGTGGAATTCATTGATTTTTTTCATCCAAACAGTACTACCTAGGGAATAACCCACACTTCATTTGTTTCGCTTAAATCAACCAGCTTGTGCACTTTACACCAGAGTTTGTCATGTTCTACAAGCATCCAGGGTATTTTTACACACACACAATGGGCTGCATGAGGCCTGACTGTAACCTGATCAGGTTTGAGGAGACTACGGCAGTCTCTATTTGCTTCATCTCTATTTAAAGCCATTTAAGTGAAATGAAATGGAAAAGTTGGGGAATTTCATCTTTTTTTAACCCTTTTTGCTTCTTGATGAAGATAGGAAGTTTTGTTAATGTTAGTACACCAAATTAAAGCACACATTATATGTGTAAGCAATGCTTTATCTATGTATTTTGTGAATGATGGAAATGTGGTTTTGTTCCACAAGCCTGAAAACCTCTAGTTTTCGGCAAACTTTATTGCTACTCTTCATCCAAATACATACTGACCTATATTTTACAGCTGCAATCAAACTGTTTTAATTCAGAACACTTTCTATCCCCTGCACAGGATGTGTTTACTTACTGTAAGCTGTCCCGATAAGTACTGAGGGGCATCCCGTAGCACTCCGGGGCTCATGGGAGACGTGACGGATATGGAGGGGCGCTCCATCTTCTGAGACTCAAATGAACTCGAACCTTAGAAGAGATTCAGCGTAAAGTAGAAAAACTAAAAAATTAATAAGAGATTCTGTCAAAGAGCTGCTGAAATGGCTCATTAAATGTCTCATAGAATTTCATCGTTTATACACGCTAGACTGAGAAAAAATGTACTCACTGGACTCCAGTTGTGCGTGTGTGCTTTCTGGTATCCTGGGGATATCGCTGCAATGACAGTGGCACAGAGAAATCAATGGCATGTGCTTTAATGACCCTGAGCACCACATTAGTCTTGATGTGAAGTTTGTGGCAGCAGCCCAAATTCACAATCTAAAGGGAGTTCACTTGGTCATACGCTCTTTACAATTACAATTAGGAGGCTAAACTGAGGGCAGCAGTTTTGTTTGCTTGTTCATCTGAGCCAGCAGCTACTCTAAAGTGTCATATCAGACCTTTTTTTTTCCCTGAGGTCCACTATTAATGTTATGAACGCCAAAAAAAAAAAAAAAATTGCATGACTTTGTTGTTATTCATCAGAAGTCAGATGTCAAGTTTGCAATTATATTTAATATTTTCTTTTCAATTAAAAAGGAAGTTTTGAGTTTGTCTGAAAATATCAAGGAAAATTGAATTTTTCACGACATGGTACCTTCGATTCTATGTAACTGTATTGTAAGGAGGTGAAAAACATCTAGCGTACTGCAAAAACAGACTATTATAATAAAAAAAATTTAAGGCAGAAGGATCACAAGGCTCATAAGCATGTTAGTGTTATGATTAAAACCAATATTAATCATAAAATGTTCACATGAAATTACAACACAAACACAAATACAACAATAGAAAATTTAACGATGTTGGTTCAAATTAGACGTAATAAATTTAATTGACAATTCTTTTAATACTTTGAGGACTTGAGACTGAGTCTTATTGACCATTACATTTATTTTATTTATTTTTGCAAATCAGCACTGCACGTTTGTTTCTGTGTGCAGCAAACGAGGAAGATGCAAAGAAAACATATGCTGTCTATAATATGTTGTGTAGGCATTTCTTGTGTGATGAAAATTAGATCTTTAATTTCTTCTTTAACAGTATCAGCATAATCTTCTATATTAGAGGCATGCTGTATTCACAGTAACTGTAATTTCTGTTCATTTCATGTTACACTGAAGAACATTGTAGAGGACGCCGTACCCGATGGGTCGTGAGACCACTAGTTCCACCTGAGGCTCTGGCTTTGATTCTAAAATGATATTGTAAACTTCTTTAAATGTGGCTCCTTGTAACTGTCGGCCGTTCCACTCAAGGACTTGGTCACCTATGAAACAAGAAAATCACTTACAACTCTGTTATCAAACACTTAAGTAACAAACTGTCAGACTAATATGAGTCCACCATTTAAAAATTTGGGGTAATTATGTTTTCTGGCCAATTAAGACTGGCCAGCAAACTCACCAGACCTGAACCCCATAGAGAATCTATGGGGTATTGTCAAGAGGAAAATGAGAAACAAGAGACCAAAAAATGCAGATGAGCTGAAGGCCACTGTCAAAGAAACCTGGGCTTCCATACCACCTCAGCAGTGCCACAAACTGATCACCTCCATGCCACGCCGAATTGAGGCAGTAATTAAAGCAAAAGGAGCCCCTACCAAGTATTGAGTACATGCACAGTAAATGAACATACTTTCCAGAAGGCCAACAATTCACTAAAAATGTTTTTTTTATTGGTCTTATGAAGTATTCTAATTTGTTGAGATAGTGAATTGGTGGGTTTTTGTTAAATGTGAGCCAAAATCATCACAATTAAAAGAACCAAAGACTTAAACTACTTCAGTCTGTGTGCATTGAATTTATTTAATACACGAGTTTCACAATTTGAGTTGAATTACTGAAATAAATGAACTTTTCCACGACATTCTGATTTATTGAGATGCACCTGTATATGAAATACTGAAACATAGCATGTACCTGGTCTGAGATGCCCAACTGTATCCGCTAAACTCCCTTTTCTTACTTTGGTGATGAACGCACAAAGTCTTCCGGACTCTGTCATCTTTCCTCCAACCACCTGTAAAAGACAAAGTAAAATGTTTAGATAATGAACCTGTCATGCTGAAACAACAGCATATTAGTTTTTGCTGTTGTGCCAACATTTCTACCAAGAAATGCCACTGAAATTTCACTGCCGTTGTAGGCATCACGACCCTATAATGAAGGCTTCATGTTGCTAATGTTAAAATAAGCTACAAAAGTCAATATAGTAAACATATTTAATAGCTCTTGGCTTTTTTATTCATGTCACATTTTGTTGTGATACTAGAGTTCAGAAAGAATAATCGGTTTTAAAATAAACTGCACAAGTTTACACTGAACAATAAAAAGTGAGACTTTCGAGGGTGTGTATGTTATTTCTGTCCGTGCTTTTGAAAGAACCGACTGTTGGAAAAGGCCTGGAGGTCTGTTCCATAAACCACGTGACCAGTCGCTCTGTGAGCATCATACAAATCAAATCCTATATAATGCACATGGTAGCACTGAGCTGACACACAGTCAGCCATTCAGAAAGTTTGTTATCAGTAACGATTCTCTGTTTCTCTCCACTCCGCTGAACAATCCATGTAAGTGCTTTAACAACAAATACAAGCTTTGCATTTCTGCTTTTAAACCCTGGAAGTGCACAGCTCTGTTTACTTCCACTGTAAGAGTTTTACTATAACCTTGTTTTGTTTTTTTTTGCTCTTTTAATGTCAACAATAAATTACTATTAAACTTTAGACTTTCTCGATGCACATTTGTTAAAAGTAATATGCATTCACTCTTAAAAATAAAGGTTCTTTATTGGCATTGATGGTTCTGTGAAGAACCTTTAACATTCAAAGAACCTTGATTGCGCAAAAGGTTCTTTATAATGGAAAAAGATTATTCAGATTCTTCATACTAAGAAAAAAATGAGAAACTTTTCACTGAAAGGTTCTTTGGGGAACCAAAAAAAAAAACCTTTTGGAACCTTAAGATTAATTTTAATGTTAATTGAATATTTTTGACTTTATTTTATCAGTGCTCATTATTGCAAGTAATAAAATGTTTGTTCATAATTTATCATTTTTTATAACTTAATCCACTTTTAAAATGAACAGTCCCACTCTACAATTTTTTTTGTTCAGTATCCTGTTTTACTCAGATTACTGAAGTAAAATGGGTTATGAGCATGCTTCACATTAACATAAATATCAACTTAACTTTTATGATTTTAACCCTTTAATGTCCATGGCCATGTTTAATTTCTCTAGAAGACCCACAATGGATATTTCTGCTTTTTAAAAATGGTAGGAAATTATTTTTTTCGGTAGTATTCAACATAAATGTTCTCGACAGAGTTTGTATTAAAGGAATAGTTCATGGAAAAAAAAGGGTAAAAAAAATGTACCTACCCAGATGTAGATGAGTCTGTTTCTTCACTGGAACAGATTTGGAGAATATCATAATATTTGCTTGGAGCTGCTTTGGGCTGTTTATGCATGTAAACGGTGCTTGATTTGTGCATATGTCTGTCCTGATTCAGATGAGGCCAATTTGTCACTGGAGAAAGCAATATTACAGATAGAGGGCTTGTATTTTAACTTTTTTTTTTTTACAATCACGCAAGATGGTAATTGATGGACTGGAGTGGAGTGGATTACTTGTGGGTTATTGTGATGTTTTTATCAGCTGTTTCTGACGGCACCCATTCACTGCAGAGGATCCACTGGTGGTCAAGGTGACGTAATGCTAAATTTCTCTAAATCTGTTCCAATGAAGAAACAAGCTCATCTACATCTTTGCAAATTTCAGTAAATTTTCATTTTTGGGTGAACTATACTAAAGCAGGAATGAATTCCTGCCATTACTTAACTACACAACCACATGTGAAATCAAAATCACATAAAGATCATGCCCACACAGGAAGGCGGAGCGACTCACTTTCAGTCCCAGAAGAGCTCCAGAGTCGCGGGGAACGCTGCCATCCTTCATGCGCTTGTTGAGCAAGATCCTGCCGATGAGTCGATCTCCATCTTTGGAGGGCTGCCATGTGACCGGGTGCTGTCAGGTCAAAAGCACAACAAACATCATTCCAGAACACACAGAAAGCTGCCAGTGCTGGTGCGGGGAAGGCTGAGATGAACTTCATCTGATTTATCGCACAAACTCTGTTGTGATTGCAGGTGTTTCATGGGAGCAAGCCACACGTCTGGGACAAATCTAATAATGTTTCTTAGAGGCTTAAGGGATTAGCTCACCCCAAAATAAAAATTCTGTCATCATTTACTCATGTTGTTTCAAACCTGCCTGATTTCCTGTTTTCCGTGAATGTGTCTTCAAATGCATGTTTTGCAATTTAAAATTGTTAAATGTGTTTAAATTCAATGAATGTCTGTATTATAATAATGCTCAAGTTCAAAAATAAAATAGGAAACAGATTTATAGGAGTGATCTGGGTTCAATATAAAGTTAAGCTATACGGACAAGACAACATCTACAGAAAATAATTTTGAATCGTCCCTCAAGTTGGTAAAAACATACCAAAATGCTTACAGTAGAAAAAAATATAATGGAGGTCTATGGGGCAAGGCATTCCAGATGGTTTAAAAGCAAAATTGTGAATTGCATTCTTGCTAAAGTGCTTATATTAATTATTTCGTACAAATTGGCTGTTTTCTGAGCTATAAAGTTGTCTAAATTGTCCTTTTATTGGTGAGATGACATTTCTACATGAATGAAGTTCTGCTACATGTTATTGCCGTTATTCCTGTGGACACAGTTTGCTTTATGTAAAAATCACACAAAATCTTTAATCGTTGAACAAATACTGCTAAAATGGTTTTATATTGTAATGCAAAAAACTGAACGACTTTCACATTGCAATCACTTTACATAATGTTTAAAGTAGTTACACTTTATAAACAGTAATGGTATAATGCCTTGCCCCATAAATTTCCATTTCCCATCATGTGGAAGTCATTTATACTTACTGTAGCATTCACAAGTTTGGGGTCATTTTTTTATGTTTTTGTTTCTTATGCATACCAAGGCTGCATTTATTAGAAATTAACTGCACTGAAAAAAATTTGAAACCATTTTTACCCAGAAATTGATAGCAAATTTCACAAATAATTAAAAAAAAAAAAAAACCCGGCAAGTAACACACTGAATTAAATGTGGAAATTTAAGTAAAAGGACTGAAATGGTATTTTCTTATAAATTGTACTTTATTAGTCTTTATTTGCAAATATGAAAAATCATTTTTCACAGTGTTTTCTGTATCAATATATATAAAAATGTATTTATTCCTATGATGACAAAGCTGAATTTTCAGCATCATTACTCCAGTGTCAATGTTCCTTCAGAAATCATTCTAATATGCCGATATTTGTTTTGCTCAAGAAACATTTTTTATTATTATCAATGTTGACAACTGCTGTGCAATATCTCAGTTTTTATGGAAACCGGGTTTTTTCAGGAGTCTTTGGAAAAGTTCAAAACAACAGTGTTTATTTGAAATAGAAATCTGAAAGATTATAAATGTCCTAACTGTCACTTTTGATCAATTTAATGCATCCTTGGTGAATAAAAGTATTGATTTCTTTAAAATAAAAAAAAAACTGAATGTTAGTGCATTTTTACAAAATGGCCCAAATTAGGTTAGGACAGCTTAACATGTACTGAATCCAGAGCATTCATAAATGCTTCGTAAATATAATTTTTTGGCTCTAGGTGGTGTAGAGTTTGTGTGATCTTGAGGGAGTGACATGCACCCATCACATGCAGAGAAAAGCCCCCCATGGCGACAGATCCCGCTTCCATCACCACAGCCTAACCCCAGCACCACATCCAGCAAACACAAGCCCCAATAATGGAAGAAGAAACAGATGATGTTCAAACTGAAAGCGAGGAGAACAGCATGGAAAGGCTCACGAACACAAACAGTGGAAACCAGTGACCCATAACATAGAGAGCAAAGGAATATGACAGTGGAAAGGGAAAAAAGAAAAACAAACTTTGTGGCAAAACAAATCCTGGCTGGCCGTCTCTGAGCGAGTGAGCGTGTGTTTCGGAGTGAGTCTCCTGGAGCGTGAGCGTGTGGGAGAAGGGGGGAAGGAGTGAGGATTCCAACCAGTGAGGGGGTCTGGGGCCCGGGGCCCTACCGTGGCAATAAGACACGAGGCTGAGAGGGCATGCAGCTGACGGGGGAACCCACATTCTCTAAGTGCCATGACCAAACACACAATCACATGGTGGAGTGATTCGCTGCTATGTCGACTATATGGCAGCTGCGGCTAAGAAGCAAACGATAACAGAGCAAGCAAGAGGCTCCCCAGCTACTGCCACAGAAGAACAGAAATTTAAAACTCAGGAAAACTTTTTTAAAACTTAGAAAAAGGGATAGTTCAATCAAAATTGTTCATGATGTTCTGAACCCGCATAACTTTCTTTTTTCCACGGAACACAAACGGAGAATGTCCATGCAGCTCTTTTCCATTCGATGAAAGCATATTTTGACACCAACGAAGCTGAACACCATTAGTTCCTGTGAGTCACATGACTAAACGTGATGTGCAAGATTACTTATTAACTGCAAATTAAAAGTAAGTCATTCAAAGGAAGACAAATGTGAATGCAACTTAAATTTCAGTCCGTTTCTCAAAGAAATCAACACTACCGTTTAAAAGTTTGGGTCGGTTTTTCAGTGTTTCTGAAAGATGTCTCTTATTCTCACCAAGACTGCATTTATTTGATCAAAAATAGAGTGAAATTAGTAATATTATGAAATATTATTACAATTTAAAATAGTTGTTATCCATTTTAATATATTTTAAAATGTAATTTATTCCTGTGATGCAAAGCTGAATTTTCAGCATCATTACACTTCTTAATATTTTTGTGGAAACCATTATATATTTTTTTTTTCAGAATTCTTTGATAAAAAGGTTCAAAAAGTTCAAAAGAAATGTAAATCTTTTGTAACATTCTAAAAGTCTTTACTGTCACTTTTAGTCAATTAAATGAGTTCTTGCTGAATAAAAGTATTAATAAAAAAATAAAAAAATTTAGTGACCTCAAACTTTTGAATGATAGTGCAGTTTCAGAAGATCTGAAATACTGCATACAAGTCAAACAATAATTGTCTTTTTCGGAGCTTGACAGCCCTTGGTCACTGTCTGCTTTTATTTTATGGAAAATAGCAGCTTGGGCATCTTCAAAATATCACTTTTTGCACTTCACGGAGAAAAAAGGAAAGTCAAACAGGTTTGGAACTATACAGAATTTTCTTTTTTTTGGGGGTGAACTATCCCTGTAACATTCAAAAAGAAGATCTGACCTAATATTCGCGACATCAAAACAAAGACCATGTGAAAATGGAACAAAATTAAGTAAATGAAAAGTTCCCAACAAAACAAGATCAAATGAAATCAAAGCAATGCAGGCTAGAGAGGTACCAGTACCTTCTCACTATGGCTATGCTCCTCGTTTAGGGTAGTGCTACTGCATGTATCAACCCCCGAGTCTTTAACCTGGGGTTCACACCACTCAGCATCTTCTTCCAAAGAGTGGCCCCCAAAGCGCACCATTTTCTTTTGGCCCTCAGATAAGGTGTGTGACTGCTCAAAAGTTTGTCTTTTTCCCCTTTGACTGTCCCCTACAGACATGGGATAAAAACAGAAAGAAAGAAAAACATGCAGAAGTGAAAATAAATCAAAAGAACCATGGAATGACAAAGAGTGACACAGAGAGAGAGAGAGAGAAAAACAGAGAGAGAAGAGCCAGAAAGAGAGAGAAAGAGGTGAGACATTAGGCTCCACATGTCTCACCAAAGACATGGAGGAAGCATCGCTGCTATGCCACGTTGTATGATCCCACCAGTGGCCATCCAAATCTCCTGCGAGTGCCACACACACACACACAATCGCAGCACACACACACATACAGCAGACAGCAGAAGTAGTTTGTGAGGACAAAGAAAACATAGACATGTGGGGAAAAGAGACACTAAATTCACTCAGTCATAATGTTAAACGCGTTAGTCGCACTCATACTTACACTCACGCTTACTGTACATTTATTGTTACACTCATAGCCGTATTTATGCAACTTAACTATGACAATTCAGGCAAGGAACAAGAAAACCAACGACTTGCCCCTGCTAACTGCAACAAAACTACAGAAGAGGTCAAACATTTGCACTGCTCAAAGAAACTTGGCTGAAGTCGCTATCTTTTACGTCTGACTAATAAGATCTGAAAAGATCTTGGGACTGGGCTGTGATACGCTTAATTTGAAGGAAAACACACACACACACAATGTTCGAGCAGCCTGACTTGGCTTCAGTTTAAAATGCAGTCGGTGCAAACTCCGAACTGCGTTCCTGTGTTTGGAGAGATATAACATCATCTGGTATAACACTAAATGGAGTCACTGGAAATGGCATCATCAAGTATGACGTCAACCGATATGACATCATAATCAGATATAAAACCATTAAATATGACAGTGCTTGATCAGATCAAATATGACGTTGTCCGAATATAACATCATATATGGCTTGATTAGATACAGCATACATCTAAATGTAACAACAGATATATTATCAACAGTGCTATTTTTGTAGCTTAGAAAACATTATAGTTTTTATTTGGATATTTTATCTTTTATTTTTATATTTTCTGTTTTCATTTTTAGTCATTATGTTATGTGCTTTTGTCATTTTATTAGTTAGTGTGTTTATTGTATTTTTGTAGTTATTGTATTTTATTTCAGTTGGTAATTTTAGTTATATATATATATATATATATATATAACATTCCCTTATTGTCAACATTTCTAATTTTGGTTTAAGTTTTTAATAGCTAATATTTAATATCTCTATTTTATTTTAGCTTTATTTAAATTAACAAATTTTTATTTAGTTTTAATTAAGCAAATATGGCATCATCAAATACCATGCAATAGGTATATGACAACATCTTGTCTGCATTATTCAAAACACCAGTGAACAGCAGACTTATGAGAGTTAATACGTACAAAAAATAAAGCGGAAGTTTGGGAAGAAGCCTGAAGCTATTCCTTCAGTAGTCACAGAAACCCACTGAACGCTCTGGTCCTTGAGAAAACCATACAGGGAAAAAATCAACTGCAAGAGTCTGGAATAGTCCATTGCATGATCTTATGTTATCAGTACATTGAAATAACTGTATATAACAGAATACTGCATATCAGATATAGTTATTTTTGCTAGAAATGCAAAAATAAAAGTTGAAATGGTTTATATAAAAAGTACTTCATCCCATTTGACTATTTAGAACCTGATGTCATCATTTACTCACCTTATGTTGTTCCAAACATGTATGAGTTTCATTCTTCTGTTGAACACAAAATAAGTTATTTTGAAAAATGTTTGTAATCAAACAGTTGCTGGTAGCCATTGACTTCCATAGCATAGAGAAAAAATACTATGGAAGTCAAAGGCTACCAGCAACTGTTTGGTTACCAACATTCTTCAAAATATCTTCTTTTGTGTTCAACAGAAGAAAGAAATACATACAGGTTTGGAACAACATAACGGTGAGTAAATGATGACAGATTGTTCAGTTTTGGGTGAACTATCGGATGAAACCAGGTAATCCAGGTGAATTAGGCCATGTTTTTCCATTTATCTCAATGACAAAAGTGGCCCAATTAAACTGGGACCAAACAATAACAGTAGCTACAATTATTCCAGTGCACATTCACACTCCACTTATTTGTGTCCCAAATGTCCACTATCACCACGCTATTCTTCTGGAGCACCGCTGTGTTCTCTCTCTCTCTCTCTCTCTCTCTCTCTCTCTCTCGAGTTGGTAGTGAAAGCGTAAGTGCAGCGGTCTTTGCGGCTACGTTCTGGGATCTATTTCTCTCTCGCTCTCGGCAGAAGGCAGAAGTGCTGATTCAGGCCTGAGCACAGCTCCCAGGCCGCTAGCGCACGGCTCTCCATCACTCTATTATATTATATTATATTATATTATATTATATTATATTATATAACTTTTATACTTATAAATAATTATATAATAATTAAGCCAAAAAAAATTCATAAATGCTGGAAAAATTTGTATTTTTACTGGTTTGTAATTTTCAGTGCTATCTCTCTCTCTCTCTCTCTCTCTCGAGTTGGTAGTGAAAGCGTAAGTGCAGCGGTCTTTGCGGCTACGTTCTGGGATCTATTTCTCTCTCGCTCTCGGCAGAAGGCAGAAGTGCTGATTCAGGCCTGAGCACAGCTCCCAGGCCGCTAGCGCACGGCTCTCCATCACTCTGACAACTCAATAAAAACCCAGTGTAAACTATTAATTGGATCATTAATTATTGATGCTGTTTTTACTACGAGTGAAGGGGACAGGAGAACAGAGAGAGACACAGACCGAAGAAAGTGACATGTCGTGCAATCATAAAATGAATATTGATATTTGTCTCCATGAAGGTTTCGAACAGGACAGCATTGCCTTCCAAAACGGAAGATGCGATCTGATTGGTTCCCCTTGGCATGACATGGAAAATGGTGGATTCACGATGAATGAATGTTATTCATTTGCATGCGCTGTATGCCTACCCGATTCACTGTCAATATTTTTAGTCAAAAAATATATACATTTCAAACAATTATGAATTTTAATGTGCTGTACTTACATTTCTCATTTTAAAAGTACAATTTTAACAATGGTTACTATGTAAATATTTACAATCAAATAAAATATTATTAATATAAAAAAAAATTCATAAATGCTGGAAAAATGTGTATTTTTACTGGTTTGTAATTTTCAGTGCTACGAAGACTATCAGTCAATTTTGCGATTTCCAACAAAACCTCATCTATGCTAGCCAGTTTCATCATTTTAACTAGAAGACACGTTTAAAGAGTTGACAAGCGGAACATGCAATCAAATTTCTCAAAAAAAAAAAAACATTTTAAACTAGGTCCTTATTGTTGAGCCCTGTAAATCTGAATAATGATGGGTAATATATTGATGCACATCTCTCTTTAATTACCACTCAGACCTAGTAAGAGTCTGCTAAGAACACAGAGTACTGAAACATGAATGTAACCCTGACCGACTCCTTCAAACCTTTTCTCTTGTTCTGTCTGCACATCTGCTGATCGATAGAGAGGAGAACAAAGAGAAAGAACACTACACTAAATCACACGAGGGTCTCCCGCTTCACATCAACGTTTTTACAAAGCTTTAATGCAGGCCATCCCATTTCATGGAGATACAGGGTGTTTCTGCTGACAGTTTAAAGAGCAGAAGACATAAATCAAATGCATAGCTGACAATAATTATATCTGTAATGTGTCATAGGGGAAAGCTCCACCCCAAATGTTTTGTCCATTACATAATTCGCCATGAATCGTATGAGGTTTTACGGCTGCTTTGAGAGCAGGTCTGAATGCAGAGCGAGCCGAGAGCCAATCACAGTGGCTTATCCCGATCCGAAAACAGGCCTGCAGCCAAGCGGATGCCATGGTAACCTGCTTTCACCTCATTACGTCTGATCCTCAGACAGGCAGACGGCAAAACAAATAACATCAAATCCTGCAATCAGGAAGACTGAAATATAAACTGTCTGCTAGTCTGCTTTAACCAAACAAAGAAGAACAACCAGTTCAAGTTGATCTGTTCCAGTGTCCAAAGACATCAGATGTCAAAAGTGATATGCAAGTTTTTTGCTGTATTTAAAGAAGCGTTTTTTCCGATGTTAAAATTATTTCCTACCTAGTTTAATATACAATATTGGAAGGTTGCATCATTGTGGCACTTTCCAAACCCAGCTCTCACTGCCTCTGAATATGCGTACTTCCATACTATATTGTAGAGTATGCAAAAACAGTGCATCAAATGAGATGTCTGAATAAGCAATAATGATAAAAATGTACACTACTGTACAAAAGGTGTTGTTCAAAAGGGGTCAAAGGGTCATTTTTAAAAGGCGGCTCTTTTGCTCACCGAGGCTGCATTATTATTATTATTATTTTTTTTTAAATTACAGTAAAACCCGTAATATTGTGAAATATTATTACAACAGCTGTATTCTAGTTTAATATTTTTTAAAATATAATTTATTCCTGTGATGGCAAAGCTGAATTTTCAGCATCATTACTCCAGTCTTCACTGTCACATGATCTTTCAGAAATCTTTCTAATAGGCTGATTTGCTGCGCAAGAAGCATTTCTTATTTTTATCAGTGTTGAAAACAGTTGTGCTGCTTATTATTTTTGTAGAAACAGTGACAAGTTTTTTTACAGGATTCTTTGATGATTAGAAAGTTCAAAAGGACAGTATTTAATTGAAATATAAATCTTTTGTAACATTATAAATGTCTTTACTGTAAATTTACTGCATCCTTGCTAAATAAAAGTATACATTTAAAAAAAAAAAAAACTTTTGAACAGTAGTGTATTTTTACATGAGTTCAGTGGAGACCAGTAGAAATTAGGTAAGCCTTAGAAAATTTGGAAAATTTTGAAATAATCAATAATAATTCACATCAGTTAGGCCTAGTCCAGTTTGCTTCACGCCAAATTCTAAACCACTAACAAAAACAAAATGACTCTGTCCATCTGCTATTGGTCAGACAGACAGGTAGCTCCGCCTCAAATTTACACCATTGGCTGATCCACTGTTGCTATGCCTGGCCAATCAAACAAACAAAATAAATTGTTTGAAAGCACCACTGTTTACACTTTTCATCAGCCTACTTGCAGTTGTTTGAACTAGCACATTAAACTGAGATAGAAGAGAGTATTTTTTTATCATTACAAAATATTACAAAAAAATATATATAACTGTGTGTATTTAAATCAGCTGAACTAATATTACAATGATGAAATCCAGTAGAATGACTGATTATCTGGTTGTAATCATGCAGAAATGCTATATCCCTGTGCCGTATCTCCACTGCGCTCGGCTCTCATGTGCGATAAAGCTGACGGGAAAGGCAGTCTTATCTGGCCTGATGTGCTCTCCCCCCCTTTCTAAAACCCACCTGACCTTCAGAGAAAGCGTTACTCCTCTCCTCTGGTTATAAGTGTGGCTGTGAAACCTGGAAAAGCGGAACATCAATAATGTAGAGCTGTACGCTGGGTTTTGTCCTCGGGATGCTTATATAAGTGGCTCGGCAGTTGTTCTCACTGCAGTTCTCTATCCCGCCTCCATCATCCAGACTCAATCACGCAACTTCAAAACTCATAATCTAATATGCAAATCTTGCCTTTTTTTGGATACATTACACCAAGCTTGTCACAATGTATTTTTGCCCACAATCCTGAACAAAAAGTGTTGAATGGATATAAAAACTGCATCACTATATGAAAGAAAACTGGCAAACAAAAGGCACATATACATACATTAAAGTGCATTTGATTTGCTTGTAAAAATTTTTTGAAAAAAAATAAAAAAAAGAGAGAGAGAGAAATTGTATTTTTCAAATGCAAAGTAAAGGCTATTTTGGACCAATAGGATTTTGTGAATTTGATGTTATTTTCTGGACAGCTAAGCACATTACCACAATGCATCTAGACATTTTACTTTTACTTTTGTTTGTATTTCCTATTATTCTTAAAGGGGTCATATGATGCTGCTAAAAAGAACATTATTTTGTGTATTTGGTGTAATGAAATGTGTTTATGCAGTTTAAAGTAAAAAAAACACATTATTTTCCACATACTGTACATTATTGTTTCTCCTCTATGCCCCGCCTTTTTGAAACGCGTCGATTTTTACAAAGCTCATCGGTCTAAAAAAGCGAGGTGTGCTCTGATTGGCCAGCTATCCAATGCGTTGTGATTGGCCGAATACCTCAAGCATGAGACGGAAATGTTACGCCCCTCACATACCGTGTCCGGCCGGAGCGACGAGACAAAAACATTAAAACCCATTACAAACGAGGCATTTGTTGCATCCAGTGGGGACATAAATACGGATTGTAATGACTTATACTGTTTTTTTACGCG